TAATCTCAATTGGCTGCGTGGGTCTCAGAATCGTTGGCGCCATAACAAGTCGAATTCTCAGATACCAGCAGGGCACAGTTGCTTGGTGTCATGGGGAAAACCTAACTCCCCGCCAACATACATGCATTGGAATTGGTGCACAGAAGCAATTTAATAGGTACCTGTACTAATGTTTTCAGGTAAAGAATACAGCGTCTTTGTGGTTTTAGAGATAACTGAAATAAGATTCTTTTCACTGCTGGTGAACTAGAAAGAGAAGGGGAGCGATGTTTCTGATGGGCTGGAAGAACAAACCGAACCACTGATACCATAGACCCTGCCAGCACAGGTTACTTTGGTTAACAAAGATGAAGGTTATTGGGACATACTTTTACTCAACACTATAATACAACGATGTAATAAAAGCAATAATTCTTGATTCCTTATCAAAGCATTCGGAATCTTCATTATATTTAAAAGACCAATGAAATTTGCTCATTTTGAGCTGGTTTATTTTTCTTCCTGTTATTGAATTTTAGGAGCTCTTTAGTCATCTGCTGATTACATCTGCAACACCTGAGGAGAAGCACTGCCAAGGACATTGGGTGCCGTGCTTGGGCAGAGCTCCACCTGGAGTCAGAGACAAGAGATTGAAACAGGATAAAAAAGATGAAAAGAGACAAGAAACACAATGAATCTTTATTGCTAAATCTTCTGACCATCATCGACCTCATCCCAGACCCCTCAGGGGATGAGGGAAATACGCCAGAGCATACTCAGTTGCATGTCTTGGGGAGGATCTGGGAGCATTTTGTTGGCTGCCCGTTCTAGGATGTTCAAGACCACACCATGGGCCTCCTGGCACAGATCAGTACCCAGGAAAGCTTCCACTCGCTCACGCCATGCAGCCAGTTGCGGCCGTCTCTCAAACGGGTCATGGTCAACAGCCACAAGCTGCAGGGACAAAGATTGGAAAGTTATGCTAATACGGCAATCCCAATGCCAGGAACACTGGCAACAGGTGTCAGGTCCCTTCCCCAAGCTCCATATGAGGCCCAGGGCTGTGCGGCCAGCCGCAGGGCCCAAGAGCACCACGATGAAATCCCACCCAGGAGGGAAGCAGGTCAGGGCTCCAGCATGAAACTTGCTAGAAACTTGCTCTGTGATACTGGGCAAACTCAGTGTTTCTGTCTGCCTAACGGGGGTAGCAATAAGAGAGGTGCTGCCTACAAATGCTGCTCTACTGGTCAAGCTCTCACCTGTATTAGCTCCTCCAGTGCCATGAGGTCAGCCAGTGTCACCTGCTGGCTGGTGAGGAAGGGCTTGTCCCTCAGGAACTTGTCTTCCAGTTGCTGCAGTGCCCT